CTCTCTCTCTTCCACTTCGGCAGAAAGCACAGGCACACGGATGGCAGGCTTGAGGGTTACCTTCGTGCGCTGTTCGGGCTGCTGCGGCTCTACCGGGGAAGACTTCGGGCGAGACTTCGGGCGAGGGGCAAGGATGACTTCGTGATCGTTTCCTGCTTGGGGCTCAAGGCTCGCTTCGGGCTTGTGGTCTTCTTTGGGCTGGCCTTAGCCTTAGGCTCTCCTGCGGGCGTGCCCTCGGTTTTTCGCTTCCGGGCACTCTTGGGAACAGTCACGATGTACTTGGAGGTCTTGGGTCCTTCAGGGAGGCCTTCTTCGGAAGCTGGCTTGGGCTCCTGGGGTGTCTGCTCTACGGGTCGTGTTGTGGACGGCTTCAGGCTGCGGGTCCGGCTCCTACCGCGGACCTCGCTTGCACTGGTGGTTGGCTTGGGCTTGTCCTCAAATCCTCGACCAAAGGCCTGTCCTGAATAAGCGCCCCCAACCCCTGCTGAAGTCAACCGCCTCAAGATCTCGCTCTGGCCCCCTGCTGCCGCTCCCACGCGACGCGCTGGGCAACGATTCTCTTCGTGAGAATCCGCGCTGGCGCGCTGAAACTCCTCCCGTGCCTGGGCCTCGAGGCTCGCGTCTCCTAGCCTGCAAATCCTGAAGCCGAGCGTAGGCAGCCCGTTTGGCCTCCGACCAATGGGCTTGTGGTTCCCTAGTACCCTCTTCTACCTCTCTCGCTCTCTGGTCTGCTCTCTTCTGCTTCTTGCCTCCTCTCTGTCTGGTTGCGAAAGGAACACCTGACCGGTCGAGCTTTTGCTTCTTACCCCCACCCTCGGCCATAACGTGCAAGCAGGGCTCGCAGCAGATAATCCGGCCGGCGGGCAACCAAGAGCAGAAGGCGCAGAAGGGCAGCGCAGTAGCAGCAAGCACCGGGCAATTGCGACGTTCAGGCTCTAGAGGCTACGGCTGATAACCGCGACAAAGCGCGATTCTCAGCAAATCTTTCACCTTTTTCCGCCTTGAGCCAAACGCGCTAGGTTAGCTCTCTGCACAACGGCAAAGAAGTCTACAAACTACCGCCCCTAATCTCGTTTTTGTCTGTACAAGCGGCGGTGTGGCAGGACAAGTTATTCTCTGAGTCAAGGCAACGCAGCATCTGCACTACTCTGCGGAAGTATTGTGTCGAGCTGCCTGCAGCTACCTTCAAATTCGCATGTCTTGCCAACGGGGCTACACCTCCGAGGGCCCAGACCATGGATGCGTGTTGTGGGCAGCATTCACAAGGAAGTGTCTGAAGTCTTCTGCGAAAACTGGATCATCACGTGCTGGAAGTTACTGTAGGGTGATCGGGACAAGAGCCCGACAAGATAAGAAATTCGTGGGTGCAGCCGAAGGTGAGATCATAATGGTTCTTCTGCAGCATCTTGCAAATGGATCGTGGCTCTGCTTTCGCAGCATACCTGGCAGATATTGCGCTCCTCGCCATATCACCTAAGAATCCAGGCACGCCCCAACGACTGCTGCATGCAAAAGCATTCACAAGTCCATCGGGATTGCACTTGGCGACTACATATACCTGTGGTGAACAGAAACAGGAGCGTGCAGGCTTCTGAGCCCGCCCAGCTAATCCTGGTCCTAGCAAGGCTGTAAATGCGGCCAAAATCTTGCAAAAGCTCAGAGGTTGGTGCGCTCAGTCGACAACGGGTTACGGGCGGCTTGCACAAACTGGATACAGTGCAGATACTGGGTTCATACGCAGGGCGGCGCAGCTTGAGCCCATTGACATAGCCAGTGCAGTCTGCATGGAACACTCTCATATGAGTCCCTAGCTCGAAACTTCAAAGAGAGCAATGCCACCCTGAATCCAACAGTTTCCCGAAGTGCAAGTGTGCAAGGGCCTGGAGTATGAGTGGCTAAAGCAGCCATCAGCTGTATCTCAAGACCGAACATCACAATGTGCAGGGAATTTAGAACAGTTATTTGGGCAAGATTGCCATGCAGTCTTGCAATCTTGGTCTCCAAACGGTAAATTAGTCGGCGAGCAAATGGGGCAGGGGCAAGATGACCAAGATTGCCAAGCAATCTTGCTCCCCTCCCCCGCCTGACCAAGATGACCAAGATTGCCAAGACGGCTCCGCAAAATAATTGTTCCAAATTCCCGGCACAATGTATCATCACCAGACCTTGCTACTTAGTCGAACTTGTAGGGATCCAGGAGCAGCTGGGACTCAGAAATCGAGAAATCAGGACTGAGTCGGAGCCTCTGAGACTGGGACTCAGAGACTCTGCTTTAGCCATGCGTAGGCAAAGGGGTCTTTGATGTCAGGGTTGAAGTCACGCTTGGCGGAGCAGCTGGCCTGTCAAACAAACCCCAGGTTTCTCTGGGTTGAATCTGAGGCATTGGTCGTTGGTCGTTGTCCATCAAGATCCATCGCTGCTTCAAAGACACCAAACCTTCGACGTGGGTGCCTTCCTTCAGGTTCCACGCACCCTTGGTTTCGGGTGCCATGAGGTGCCAACAGCTTTCCAAACAGGTTGGGCTTTCTTGTTGGTCATCTTCCGAGGGGTCGCAGCAGGGATGAAGCTGCAGGGCTCCCCATTTTTCGCCTCGAAAACGAGTCCTGGTGTTTGAGTTTGAAGCTGATCGGGTCGGCAAACAGTAGTTCCCTAACATCAAAGAAAAACAGGAGTATGCACAGTCCTTCTCAATTTGGGGTTTCAATGCTTGGCAGGCAAAGTCGATGTTGGTGACATCCGTTTTCATGTCTTCCAAGGATTGCATGTACGACCGCAGTGACTGCAATCTCGAATTCCCCGGCTTGTTCTCCGACAAGTTGCGAGTTCCACAGAGGTCAACGTCTGAGCCGAAACTATGTCC